ATAACTGGAATAGTTGATCCCTGTGACCAAAGCAGGAGAATAAAAGGAATATCTGGGTTATTTTAATTTCAGTCTGTGCCTGTGGATACCCTGGTTAGGTAGATAGAAAAAGTGAAGAATTGTTACCCATTGCCGTGTTGCAGTGCGCCCTTAGTGAAAGCTAGCTGCTTAAAATTAATGTTGTCAGTAGTCTGGTGGGAAGACCAAAACTAGGAATGTGGTAGCATCAACTAGATGTTGAATAAGTGTGATGGCCTAATGGAAAAGTTACAAATTTGAACTAGGACAGTGAAACAGTTTTGCTTTGACAGGAGCTGAAGTCCCAGAAAATGTATGTGATTGACATCAGGATAGCATTTGCTTGATTCACTTAGAAGAAATCTCAGGCATGGTTCAAGTTTGAATGCATATGTTGAATGGTGACATTGCAGACTGAAACCTGAGCTTTAGGTTCCATTTCAGGCCAGGAAAACTGCTGCTCTGATTTCAGCCTATTGAGTCACCTTCCTATGTATTTTGCCAAAGTTTCCTTCAGCTAAAAGAGAGAAGCCAGGAACTAAGATGAGAGATTGCTGGTTTAAAAATCAAGGCAAAAGAAAAAAATCCTTCAGGGGAAACAGTCAGCACTTTCATAGTTGATAAGCGGTTATTAAACTGGGGAAGAAAATTGTTTGTCTTGTTACATTTTCAAGTTGAACTGCTGTTTCTCTTGCATGTAATTTCTAGGTAATGACAGGTCAGGATGAAGTAATTTAGATGACAGAACTTTGAAAAAGAGCAACTTGACTTTTATCATGAATTAAAGGAAGTAAGAAGACAACATCACTCCTAGGAAATGAATATTTGGCTTTGTAATCCAGTAGTGTGACAGATCATATTCTGATTTGCCCTTTCACGTTTTATTCTCTCCTCATTGGGAGTTAGGGCAGCTGAGATGTGAAACATTGTTTCCCCGAGTCACATCTCTTATTCTGTAAGAAGATTGGTGTGAATGTTGTCCTTCATCTAGCGTGATCTTTCATGAACCTGTGTACTCAACTTTATGCTCTCAGTACATTGTGCTCTAGGTAAAACAAGGAGTATATCAGCATATTTCATTATTTTCAGGTGTATTTGACTGAATCCTCTATACCTTTAGTGGTTATGGTGAGAAAGTAGCAGACTTTGTTTGCCATTCTTTATCTTAGCCTTGAACTTGAAAGAGGAGAAAGGGCAATGTCATACAGTCTTGTATAACAGGCTGGGATTCGTAATCTTCCTGAAATTGAAACATCATTTATGAAGTACTAATTTATTTCAGCATGTCAGCAGTGTGGGTTTTTCTTGCTACTACCTTAAGGTGGAGGTATCTGTAACCAGTAAGGAACACTGAGCAAAAAAGGTAAGGTGAAATTAAAAAGAAACTGAGGGTAGGCCTCAGTGATATGTGCTTTATCATATTAAATATATTACTTTTGTAATCTTATAAATTAAATTATTGCCTGATGTACAATGTCTTATTTGAACTTTAGCACCTATGGGATGTCATTGTTGAAAAAGGCAATTTGGGCCTGGATGTTGAGGAGCGTGCAGAAAACCTCTCTCCTGTGTTTGACACCAGTTAAATGCACATTTTAAATCAGTTGTCAGCTGCAGAGTTAATAGTCAGAGCTAATTGGAAGTAAGAAAGGTTAAGAAAATGAACTTGAAAAATCAGGAAGGTTTGCTGGAGTTAAAACTAGGTTGGAGAATGAGATCTGCTAATGCTAAGCTTTGTTTAACTGGGCCAGAGGTTTAAAGGGCTTTGCAGTTAGCTGTCTGTCACATAAGTATTGTTCAAAAGTTGTCTGGTTTGAGCTGCCTTAATATTTAATGGTTTCTTTCAAGTGCTGAGATTCTATAGAAATTGTTTTGAACAGAATCTGTTTGTTCATCAAACAGTTTTGTGGATTTATTAAGCAAAACTGTAAATGCCAGAACTTTGGTTGAACTTAAAACAGCTTATTCTGCTAGATTTTTTTCCTTTTTTTTAAAGACAAAGTAATTCAATTTTAACATTCAGATTTTCACTTAAAATGAGTCATGAATATTTGCAAGCTTACATTTCACTTCACAATGAAGTAGTTTTGTTTAAAGATTTTATTCCACTGTATGTTAATTAAAATGCCTGTTCAGTTTTTGCTGCTGCAAAAATGTGTCGGCTTAGTTTGAGGGATTACTAGTCTGATCATTCATGTGTGAAGTTACTGAACAGTTTGGTGCCACATTAAACTTGTGTTTCTTGATTACTGATCTCCATTTTACCAATGGTGGAAATTGGGAAGTATGAGGCGAGTCATTTTCAGTCATCTTGCATCCTAACAGCACAGAACTGAGAAGAGCTTGTACTCCAGTTCTCTGTACTGAGCAGTAGCACATTAAGTCTCATAACTTAGATTAAGTAGAGGAATACCGTTTACCAGAGAAAGTTATGTACACGTTCTGCAAGTGTGTTCAGTTAGGACTTCATGCTTTTCTCTTTCTGCCAGTGGTTGTTTGCAGTGTGGACAGTGTATTGTCACATTTAAATAGTCCCCTGCTCCATTTCACTTTGCTTAGTTTAATTTCTTTACCTGAAGTTACAGTAATGCAGACTGTCAAAAGTGGTTTTCTCAGGACTGGGAACGCCCAGTGGTGTATCTTGAGATTTTTTTTTTTTATTTTCAGAGCAAGATTTGAAGATGGCAAGTTTAAAAGTGTTGTCAAATTAGAAGCAGATTAGAAATTACTGCAGTATCATTGAGACTTCTGTGTTCACCATTCAGTATAATTGGGATTAGAACCATGTATCGTTGGTGTAAAGATCTTAATTTTCTATCCACATTCTTCCCCTGCCTCCCAGTTGCTCTCACTCCTATTCTGGCTGCTGTTTTAACATCATCTCTGAATTACTCCATATTTAATTTACAGGGGTTGATAGGACTGGAGGAAACCTGGCTGATGATTGTTATTTTAACTCTTGCAGTTTTATCCATTGACCAGAGACAAGAGTCTGTTTGGGTTTTGTTTGGGTTTATTTTTTTAAATTATTTTGGTGGTTAATGTTGTTTGAGAATGTGTCTACAAGAAGATAATAGAAAGGTGAGCTGCAGAGAAGATTGTTATCGAAGTTGTTGTGCCCGAAACCTGGCTGATTCTGTTGCAGTTCATATGGAATTTGGAAATATGTCCAAGACCATGTGAAGGTTGCACATGGTCCGTTACATTTTTCAGTTGATGTAAATACAGTGTGAATGTTTCTCATAGTGTGGACACTTCAGGACAGATGTTCTCTTATGAGCTAATTCGGTTCCCACTCAAAATCATGCACTATTGCTTTAGCTAGAACAGCATTTGATTCTGAGGAAAAGTATTGTTTTATGACCATAATGCTGTTGAGTATGCAGCGCCATTCTCCCACTGCTGCAGTGTGTATGCATGTAACTAATTCTACATGGGACTCTGTTAAATTTTGGAAGGCTGACTACATCTTCATTTAACCTGATTTATTATTTTTTTTACCACGCTGGAGTATAGTATGTATCTTGTCCTACAAAAAGTATGAATCCTCCAGGCATCTTTGAGGGCTTTTTTCCACCCGTTCTAGTTTCCTTCTCTTCATTTCTCTACTGAGCTGCTTTATTGTGTCTTCTGCATTTGCTTTTGCTTTGAACCAGCTTATTGATCTCCCTTTACGGAGTTGAAAATTGTACAAGCACTGTGGGCATGGGACTGAAAAGGTATAAACTGTAAGGCTTTAATCGGAGAACAAGATCCAAGGAAGAAGCTCCTTCACTGACAAAAGCTGGTATTCCTGTTGGCTATGGAAACCGTTTCCTCCTTTTTTTTATATATTGGCTGCTCCTGGACTGAGTTACAAAGTTGAACCACCACAATAGCTAAACCTCTGAAATAGAAATTGGTCGATGTTTGTTTCTGCTTGGCCTAGCATAGGCTTCCTTCACTGACTGACCAAGCTGGTAGCTAAAGTTACTTGTTCACATCACGTGGTTGCTTATTAGAAAAAGTTCAAATAAGGAAGCTTAATAGCATACTGTTAACAAACCTGAAAACTAGTTGAGAATTTTTCATGGTATTGTGTTGGCAAAATGCTGAACAGAAATAGAAAGGTACTGAGTGGAGTACTTTGCAACTCTCGTATGATCACATAGATTTATATGTACCTGAGTTTCGGAAAGCTGTCTTTGCCGAAAGTCTGGAAGTCTCAGTGGCAGCTGATGCTGTAGGAAGTTTTTCAGAAAAGGCACGCAGGATTGATAATTTTCCTGCAAGGATTACCCCTCTCTTGTAATTCTGCAGTGAAAATTACATTATTAAAAACTTGCTGTATTTTATTCAGTGTGATCAAATGCTGAGCTACATATTGCTGTACTCCTTTAAAAGAGGCTATTGATCCATCCGTTGTCCTTATTTGGATAGATATGAGGTTGTCAGAAATGTCGTGGAATGATTTTGTATTTTTCCTGTGGGTTTGCCATTTTTTGATATTTTAACTCGTAGTTGCTTTGTGCATGGTCCTTCATGTTCGTATTTTATTGTGGAGTCTTTTTGTTATCCATAACAGTATGAATGATAAATGCTGCCTGGGGAAGAAAGATGACCGCAAATCAAATGCATGAAGGGAAGATCATAAATACCAGTAGAAGTTCTACAGAATAATTTTTATCCATGTATATTGTATTGTTGATAGTTCCTAAATTTTAACCTTATGCTGTTTATTTTTGTTACCAGCACTCTGGCACTGATACCTAACCTTAACTAACAACATTTTTGTTAGTGTCTGGTGCAAACAGCCTGGAGTTACTTTCAGTTAGTCATTCTTTCTGTCTTGGGTAAAACATGGTGGGTTTTGCAGGCCATGTTTAAAGAACCTATCATCTGTTAATTACCTGCAGTGTTTGGTGCTTGACTGGAAACCAAGTCAAGTAAAACCTTGCATTGTAATTATTTTAGACTTATTTTTATGTTGTTTTTCTTTCTAGAACAAATTCTGAACAACATAAAACAGGAGTACAAACGCATGCAGAAGAGGAGACACTTAGAAAATACCTTCCAGCAGACAGATCCATGTTGTTCTACTGATGCACAGCCACATGCATTTCTCCTTACTGGACCAGCTTTGCCAGGTACCTGGAAAATTCTGTGTAATTCTGCTTTGTCTTTTTAGACTCTGTTATGTAAATCATTTTTCCTAGTTATCTTTATAGGACCTTCTCTCCAGTTACTGTTGCTTTTTTTTGGCAATGAATGCTGTGTAATTCTGCTATATGCTGTTAGACTCCTGCTTGAGTAAATAATTTTCCCCACTTATCTGGTGTTTCATGGCACATTCTCACCAGTTACTGTTGCTTTTTTTTTCAATATTAGCACTGATGTGGAGGATTGTAGCTTCTTGTTTTAAGAATCAGAAGGACACAAAGCTTGCATTGTTTTCAAGAGATCATCCTGCATACCCTGCCACTGATACTGTAATAGGCTTTTGCAAAGCATCTGTTTTTTGCACAGATGTACTGTACTGACAGTTTTATATGAAATAAAAGCTTAAAATTGTAAATGGCATTCACAGTGTGTAAGATGCCTGTGCATATTGCCCATTGTAATCTTCCTTTTGAGGGTCCAATTTTAATAGTAATTAGAAGCGTTCAAATTGCAGAGAAAGACTCCAAATTCTTTGTAAAGCTCCTAATGTCAAAGTTGTGAAGAAAATTGATTTTAAAGTGGTTTTGAACTAGTTTTGAGTGTAAATTTGTGTATATTTAATCTTAGGTACTTCATCTGCAGCCTCATCACCATTGAAAAAAGAACAGCCCCTGTTTACTCTCAGACAAGTCGGAATGATCTGTGAACGCTTGCTGAAAGAACGTGAAGAGAAAATCCGTGAAGAGTATGAAGAAATTTTGACCACAAAACTTGCAGGTATATTATAGCTCAAAATAATGTGTTAGGATGAGTTTGAAAGCTTAAAGAATTTCATTATGTTTGTTACACTGTACATTTTTCCTGACCTAACATGAACAAGATTGCATATAAGACAGAAAAAATGGTGTGTAGTTTCTTTGATAGGCTTTTTTCTTCTCTGCTGGCTTGGGTAGAAACTGACTGCTGGGTATTACTAATCAGTTGAAACAGTGGATTTATTTCACATGGAAATTTTTCTTGCTGTGATGTCTGAATTGATGATTTCCTCCTTTTTTTGTTTTTAGTGGTTTAGTTTGGTTTGCTAGAAGGCCTTTCTCTTCTGCTGGCTTAAGGGACCTTTGTGAAGGGTGTTCTTGTTTTTTTTTTCCTCATGCTTAGGAACTGACTTCCTTTTTCTGGAATTTGGCAAGATGACAGTACGTAAGGTTTCCCTTTCTCTGCCCAGTACTTGCCATTACATTGCTGCCAACAGTGTTTGGTATCTGCTCAAGTGTCAGTTGTTCAGCTGATGCTCTTTGTTGAATTGTTGTATTTCACACCATTTAGCTTACAGTTTTGGTGCCTGATGCCAACTTACTTTTCCATAAGTATCATGTTAATGTCAGCATTATAAATAGGACCTTTCTTTAGCTGAAGTTGTTTACTTTCTAAGCACTTCGCTAGCATTTGAGCATCTAAATTGTCTAGCATCTAACCCTAACCCTGACCCTTCACACTATGATTTAGTGTCTAATTTAATATTTATGGTGATTATAAGAGACATCTGAGTGCACTTCTGGGGCAGCAAACCTGCTTTTGACTCCCCACAGCTGTTCTGCCTCCCGCCTCAAAACACAGCAGAATTAAAGTTTGCAGATCTCTTCTGATGTGGTAGGAGTGGCGTGGCTATGCAGAGTGTCAGCAGACTTGAGTCACCCTTGTGGCTTGCCTTTGACAGTGTGGTCTCTGCACCTGAGCCTGTGTTCATGTTCTGTATTGCTGACCTGCCGTTGCTGTGTAAGAAACAGCTACAGTTCTGAGTCCCTCTTAAATCTACATCTATTTACAACTGGAGCTAAAGCTCTAAATACTTTTGTTGCTTTGGCTCTAACGCTCCATTTCTGTACTTATAACCTGCTTCAGACTGATGAATTATGACCCTTTAGACTGTTATTCTTCTAATTCGTATATGTTAGGAACTGGGTCACTTCTTGCATTTCAGTTAGCAGTGATCACAATAACCATTTGAAGACCAGATATATTTACATTTGTTCCCAACACTTTCTGAGTACAAACTCATAGTTCTTTACAAACAGGAAACCCTCTGGCAGGTTCCTTATGTGTGCTCCATCTGTTAGTCCCAAAGAGAACATTCTCTTCCCCTTCCTTTTTTTTTTTTTTTGAAGGGGATGTGTGCTTTATGGTGAGATGGGTTAGGTTCTTGTTCTTAGGATGTTGGTCATCAAAAGAGCGAGAAAGATCATGTTGCTGCATCCCGTATATCAAGCCAGTATTACATTTTCAGTATTACATGGAGATTTTAGAGACTGCCAAAAGAATTTAGAAATCCCTTACATAGAAGGCCAGTTATGTTTTTGTGCCGACAGATGACCCTTTTCTAAACTTTGTCCTGTAAGGCGATAACTCTTACAATCTAGTGAAGTCAATGGAAATGTAACTGGGAATTCTGTAATAAATCTCAATTGAATAGCTTCTTTCAAATGACTTAACTGAATGTTTGGATCTGGGATATTTTCCTGATTCCTTTCTGAATCACAATTTTCTTGTAGGGAGGTAACCAGACGCTGCTTAATTATTTTTTTTCTTCTCCCATGTTCTTTGTGAGTGGAATTGTCTTCCACACAGAGTGATGGAAAACTCAGATCATGCTAATAATGCCTTGATTTCCATTCCTGCCTGTTACCTGAAACTGCTGTGTTAGAATAAACTTGGGTTTGCAAGATCTTGTGCAGATTTTAAAACCGGAGTTCAAGGGACTAAGTGAAGCTTTCACTTGAAAGGTTTTCTAGAATCTGGTTGTGGAAACCAGCTTTTTATACCAAACGTCAGGTCACATAGTAATCATGTTTGTACTCATGTTGTTCAGCCACCTTCTGATTGAAAGCAGATGATTAGAACATATATGATCCAGGATGCCAGTGGTGTGTCTTTACAAGTATTCACTTAAATTTTCAAACAGCTCACTGTAGGTTGCTTAACTTTCCTAATCTGAATGCCACAAGAAAAGGGATTTTTAGTAACACTGGAGTCTTTAAATTTCCAAAGTCATAGTTTTTAACAAAGATGATGCTAAAAAGCAGCTGTGTATGTTGACTTAAAGCTTTAAAGAAGAAAGCTTGCAAGTTGGTTTCTGGCCTTTAATACATACTTTGAGGAAAAGTTCTAGTTTCTGTTATTTTTGGAAGTGGTTTCTGGGCAACAGATCCTTCAATCTGCTCTTTGTGCTATTTTGTTGTTTGGCTAAGATCCTCGCATGGCTGCTGAAAAGCCATCAGTCAGAACTGCAATGAACAGAGGTCCTGCTTGTTGGGCAGAGGGGAACTGGCTGCCATGGCTCTGGGCCCCTTTGGCCAGGGATGGATGTCCTTAGGTCTTGGGGTCAGATCCAAACTTCGGGCTGCTGCTGAACTACTTGCTGATTACTGATACCCTGTTTACTTCAAAGGTGAAGCTCATCCCTGCAAGAGGATGGGGACTTTAATGGGGCAAACCTGTGGGACTAGGAACCACTACAAATATAACTTCATTTTTAGTTGAAGATTGCCTTCTTTGACCTTGCCCCTTTCTCAGAACACCCCACATTGCTGCACATGTATTTTTCCACAAGGGAGGAAGGGGAATGGAGAGGAGCAGCATCTGGTAGATATTACTCTCCTTCTTCAGTTTCCTAACTCTGAAAGGTGATACCCTGATGATGAGTGCAATATTAAACTTAATAAAATATTGCAAATGTATTTGTGTGTATGTGCATAGAAATAATAATCTTTCAGGAAAATGGAAATACTTAGTTCAAAGCCAAACTGGTGCATTTGAATCTAAATTTCATTTTGGGTTGCACAGTAGTTGTTTTCATGAAGTCCACAGTCAACTACATGTCTCTATTGTGGCTACTCCTGTGATTGGAGTTAATCAAGTGCTAGTCACTTGGTGTTTCATTCTTTTAGTTTGTTACTTGCGTTTGATTTTCTGGTGGTCAACAAAAAGAATTTCCTAATTCCATAGCAAGTGCCTTTCCTCTACTTCTGTGTTTCTATTTCATTAAATAGGCTTTCTTGTGTCTGGTACTGGTGAAAGCAGAGGTTGTGTTTCCAACCCTAGCACTGACTTTAATGCTATGTTTGCTTAACTACTTTGCCCCCATTATGGATCTGTGAAATGAGTACATTTGATTACTTCAAAATACAGTGTCTGATGCTTAGCAGGCATTAGGTATGTTGAGGTCTGTGTGTGTGTGCAGCACAGTTCTCCTTGAGCATATTACCATCATTCCCATTACAGATGTTTATATGGGAAAGTTTCTTAATTAGGGGGATATTGTTTTGGGGATGGTCAGGAATGAGGAGTTTGGACGTTGCTGCATTTTTCTGGGGGATGAAAAGGTATGAACTGTGTAAAGTCACTTAAACTACTGTTAGTGGATGTGTGTTTAACTTGTATGTATAAAAAAGTGTGTTCCAGCTTCAGTTAATGTACTCACATTCCTGCTTCATGCTTGCAGAACAATACGACGCATTTGTGAAGTTCACGCATGATCAAATCATGCGACGATATGGAGAACAGCCTGCCAGTTGTGAGTATTGATTCCTTTGGGTTCCTCTTGCACCATTACATTAGCGAATGTTCAGGAATTGAAATGGCCATATTCTGTTGTTAAGCTACAGCTAGGCCCCAAGTTAAAGTATCTTAAATTGGTAATAAGAAAGGCCGACCAAGGTCGAAAGGAAGACATGAGATAAAATGCCGCTTTTAAAAATCTGGGACTGCCCCCCCTAACATGCTGGTGGTGTATTTCTGAAGCAGGGTTTGATGTAGCCATCATAGATTTGTGACAGAGCTGGCATGTATTAACTCCTCTATTAACTCTTGCTTTTTTTTCTCTTTCCAGACGTTTCATGAATCACACTTTCTGCATATGTGGGCTGCCCTATACACCCTGTTTTATTGTTGCAAGCTGTCCCAGTAAAGACTTGCAGCAATGCCATATTTTTTCCCCCTGTGAACACAGGTTATTTCAAGCTTTTGTCAGTGGCAACCACTCTTATGCAGCAACTGGTTTTGGAGTGCTCCCTGATGTCAGTACCACCTGGATGTGGACCTTTGCTACCTGTAATAATACCAGTGGCCTCATTTGCTGTATCATTACAATTTGGCTTCTTATGTTGATAAGTTTGAAAAAGTTAAAGGTTTAAAGCTGGTGTTCTAGAAGTTGCCCTTCACTGGTTGTGTAAATAAAATTGTAGAATGACACTTCTGACTGAAGTTAGTGTGATTTTCATAACTGTGCACTACAACAAAGCTGTAATCACAGTTAAGTTAGAATGTAATCCCAGGACAATTTTAAGCAAATAGCCCACAGTACTGCCTGTGAAATAGTGAAGGAGGGCATTTCTGTATTCCATGACTTTTTTGGGGGTTAAGAATGGGTTTATATGATTTCTCATTTTTGTAGTTTTTATTTATTCTATCAGTCTTTAACAAATGTTTATTGCTGCAATTTTTCAGTGTATCATTGTTTTACTGCCCTTGTAGTACTGGAATTTAGTTGGAAGAATAAAACATTTACTTCTAATCTGTTTGTTTTTAATATGCAGGTGGAACTTTTGCTGTGTACGAATAAACTTAAATCTGAGTGTTTAAATGAAAACTTTCTTCACTGGCAGTAGCGGGTGGGTCAGAATTTTAGATAGGAGAAGGAGCTGGGTGGAAAGTCTGGTAATTCTTCAGAGGCAAAGAAATCTTTCTTAGATTGGCTATGGTGTTTTCCTGTTGTGGAAGCATGTTTGGTACAGAACTGATAAGAAACTGTTGATTTAGCTTGCTGCAGCTGACTCAAAAGGCTATGTTTGTCCTCCTTAAGATTGAAATGACGCATTAAAGGAAATCTGTAAGATAGGGCAGGTGCTTGACACCACAAGCTGCAACTGCGTCGGTACTGGAAGAGCTAAAGGTGTGTAATCTCTGTGTTCAGGGTCGAGGAGTTTGTTGTTGGATGCATTCAGCTTTTTCCAGACTGCTGTATCAGTGCTGATTGCTGCTGTCTGTGCATTTCTGAGTCCCAGAGCGTTACTGCAAAGTTACTGCAAAGTTACTACATGGCAAGTCCAGATCTGTGTGCTGTGGGGTAGAGGTATTGCTTACCAAAGGACTTGGGGTATCTGCTTTGGGGACTTGAAAGCAATTCCTAAGTGATCCTTCAGTTATAAACTGCCTTCTCTAACTTACTGCCAGCTTCTGGTTAAGTGCAAGTGTGTTGTGTAATAGGTCTTTGTACCATTTGAAATTAACAGGAGAGTTTTAGTTGAAATGGAATTGAAACCTTGGTAGATGCAGGCATTTATTGGCTTATGCTGATGATTATGGTATAGAAGCCATGTGATGAAGTCTAGTTCTTTGTGAAGGTTTATTCACTCAGTAGGGAGATTGCAGGTTCAGAATTGGGCACATTGCCACAGTATTTTCTGCTCACTTTCCTGAGACTTGGCTTACCTAAATACTTGGATTCTTCTTACTGTATTTTCCAAGTCTCAGAAATGGGAAATGTATGCTAGGCTCCCTTCTCAGGTTTTGTCTGAAGGTAAAACCAAGATTTTCAAGGGCTGTAATTCCTAGGTATCTGCCCTGGGGTTCCCAGTCCCTCTCCTTCCTGCTCCTCATTTTTTGCCCTCTTTTTATTGTTAACTGCCCAGGGTAGGAAAGCCACTACTTCTAGGTGGGCCACTACCCAAACGCCGACATCCTGATATGTCTCCTCTGTCTTCTGTGTTCTTATCTTTTCCTCTGGGATGTTAAGAGTTATAAATAAGAAGTGATGTTATGTTAGCACCAAGCCACTGCTGTGCTGCTCCAAATTAATGCATAATGAGCAGTCTTCTGGCAGATGAAATACAATGCCACCATGGGTGCTCGTGCATCACAGTTGTGGTATGCTTAATTTCTGCTTGGTTTGGAAATGAGGTTACATTCTCTGAAATAGTCCATATTTTTTTTAACCTGCTGCTTGTTCTGTCATGGAACTTAAACAACAGGCTCCTTTTCCTAATCTCGGTGCCAGTGTCTGATGATGAATTCCACGTGAAAGGCTTGTTCTGACTGGTGACTTAATCTGCCGTAGGAAAATTATTTGCTGCTTGGTTACTTTTGAACAAATCAGAAAAATTGGGGTGCTGTGGGGAGCAGGCTGGTGTTTAGCAAGAAACCTGCTTTCAAGTCAAGTAGAAATGGGTAAGATTCTGTAACTGCTCCATTCTTGGCACTACATTTTTGTGGTGGCCACGTGGAGAGTATTTGTGTAACTGCAATCTGCCCAAAAGCCAGGCAAGCTGAGGACAGTTAACAGCAACCTCACAGAGTGAAACCAAAGATCTGGGTTAACCTGTTTTTAAGACAATAGTATGTAAATTCTTTTCAAGCAGCTCTCTGTTACTGTCTACTTAAAAAGCGGCATGTACATCCTGACTGTTGGTTTTTTTTGTGCCTAGATGTGAAAGCATGTAACCATAAGATGATTCAGCATTTTTCAAGGTTGAAAAGGAAAATTGCTTCAGTCTGGTGTGCTGATGCTTGCAGTCTGCATGTGTACCCTTGTACAGCAAGGCCATTAGCACAGTCTGGTTAGAAGCTGTGTTTTGTGAAAGCTCTCTCCCTTCCCCAGTTGGGAACTGGGAAGGATTTAGGTCTCTGACTGCAAAGTGGGGAGGAAAAAATGGAGTATTAAAGAGTTTATGCTCTTGTTGTGAACCAGTGCTCATGACCTTTGTACTGAAAGCTGTTCTCCGAGATGAAAAATGTGGGGATGTCTGGCTCATACAGGCACCTGGCTGAGTGTTGTATTTTACTGCTGTTGTGGGCTCCAAGATAAAGAAAAGCTACCAAGTTTGTGTTTGAAACCACAGTGTGGTAGTGGGGTTGGAGAACAGCATCTGCAGTGGTAAAGAAGAATAGCAAACTATTCAAACGAGTTAACTTACTTTGAGGTCTCAGTTTTGGCAGTAGCACTGTTGAAAGGTGTGGCTACTGCAGAACATGGTATTGGTTATCCAGAGGTGAGGCTTTACACTGTGTCATGGTTTGAGAGCCAGTACCACAATACAAACATTGACTTTTTTTTGGGTGTGTGTATGTCCTGTTCGCGGACAAGTTTCCTGGAGTACCAGCAGAACGTGGTGTTACTATGCAGGCAGTTGTAGAAACTAACATTTTAAAATTGCATCGTGTTTGCAGTTGAAATCTGTGTGTGTCTCAGCTGGGGTATGTGTGGGTGAGTTCGCAGCATTTGCAGCAAGAAGTAGCAAAATAAGTTATATGAGAGGAGCCAAATGTGAAATTGATACTGTATTGCCAGATAAAACCCTGTTGTTACTAGACCCCCTAGTAATAAGCGCAAGGTGCTTTTTCATGGCTGGATTGTCTTATCTCTTCCTGATGGATGCTGGTTCAGAATGCAGTGATGTTAAGGTCTTTCCAGGCAGGTGGGACTGCAAAGAAAGGCAAAGTAAATTAAATTTATGACCAGTTTTGTTCCATTTGTAACTGCTCAACCTTCCTAACCTCCTTGCTGAAAACAAATCACACAGTAACTTTAGTCATTTCCCCTTTATACATCTTAGGGTCAGAAGTGCCAAATACTGAATTAAAACTTTGATGCTGAGAAACCATATCTAGCATAGCAAATGTGACTGTAAGCTTCAAGACTGATGAGTAGCTAAAGAGAAGACGTTACTGATTTTTCTGTTTTAATGTTATGTTGCCTATGCATTTTGGGATTAAAAGCACACACTGTTGAGGCTGGCTTCTCTTTATTTCCAAATACTTTACCCTCCAGAGGTATGAGTTAGATGACGTGGGCTTGTTTTGCATTGGGTGATGTGAAGGGAGGGGGCTGTAGTAGTTGGCTCTGTGTCCTCATGCAGATGGGTGAGAAGTTTGTTTTGCTGCTCCCCTTAATTTGTCAGGTGCATTTGCAAGATAAATAGGTGCAGTTCAGGATGGAACTGATCAGCACTCCCCTCCTCTTGAAATTCCTCCCTTTTCACTGCTTGAAAGCCTTGCGTACAAAGGCCACTAGGTTACAGAGGTCCTCTAGCTTGCCCTCTGAAGTGAGAAACAGTGGAATTTGTTCACCCCTGAGATCTGGTGGAGCAGCTGCAAAAGCTCTTCTGCCGAGATCCTCAGAGTTCTTGCTGATCATTATGTGTCCCATGTTGTATGTTTAGGCAGCATAAAGGCAGATAACCTACTTGTCCTCCTGATTACCTGGCAACCTTTAGAACCCAGCCCTCCCTTAAGTACAGCAGGAGGTGTGACTGTGGCTCTGCAATTAGAGCAATTGGAAAACGCATGACTCTGCCCTCTCTGAGGGTATTTAAAGCAAGCCTAACCCATCCTGTGCACATTCCTGGGTAACAGCCTGGTACGTTACAGGTTCCTGTAATAGCACTTCTCCCCCTCCGAGTAGGGATCTGGTTTATGCAAGTGATTTAATCTCCAGTGCCCCAGGCTGTCCTTTTCAGTTGTTTGTGTAGGCTGAAGTGCCAGTGCAACCAAGTGGGAGCATCTGGATTCTACTGACAGGTCCAGCAACAGGAAGTGAAGCCTGTAATCCTCTCTAAGGAACCTGAGGGAGGCTGGAAGTTTTTTTAGGTAAATACAGTCTCTTTTGCTGTAAACTTAAGTAATCATAATCATAGGATCGAGCAAATAACTGTCTTCTGTTAAAGATTTGAAATATAGAATCATAGAATAGTTAGGGTTGGAAAGGACCTTAAGATCATCAACTTCCAACCCCCTGCCATGGGCAGGGAAACCTCACACTAAACCGTATCACCCAAGGCCTCGTCCAAGCTGGCCTTGAACACCACCAGGGATGGAGCATTCACAATCATCATTCAGCTTCTAAGTGGGCTGGGAGGGACAAAATTTAAACACTTTTCTAACTGCAGCCAGTTTCTGGGTGTTAGAACTGACCTGAGGTCTCCACTGAAACTGCTGAAATGCATGTGCCAGGGCCCTCAGGAGAGTTTAGCAAGGCATGGCAGGCATGACGCTCTCCTGCAGGGAAACACAGCTTTCTCCCTTTGGTTTATAAGGCTTTTTCCAGTTGGAAAACATGGGGTGCTGACATTAGCATGAACACATTTGCTCCCCAGAGTCTGAGGGAAGTTGATGCTTAATGCTGTAAGAACTGCAGACTTCCAAAGACTGGTCTGGTTAGATGCCCCCATGCTTCTCTGGTAACTGGCATTGGGTGCAGGTTTTTCTTGACCTCTGCTTCCTTGGGGCCAACAATTCCAGCACTGACCATGGCTTCCCAGTGTTTCAGCACAGCACTTTATGGCTTTTGTTACAATATCATGCATTGATCTGCAACTTACTCTAGGCAGAGACCAGCAGCTCTGGTCTCCCTGACCAAATCACCAGCAGACTTGAGCTACTCCAGTCCTGTTCCACAAAAGGGGCAGCATTAGTAACCCATACCCAGATGTATGGGTTGTGTTTTGTGCAGGCAGAAGCTCAGAGGGGGCATCTTGGGCTTGCTACTGCCCAGGGTCGAGTGGCTGCTGAAGATCGGTT